CTAGCATTAGTTGCTTTGGTGGGATTTGAGAGAGAAGGACTTGGGCACTCCGTGTGCCCTTGCCATTGCATTTGGTGCATCAGTTTGAGTTCTCCATGGTGATACGTGGAAGTTACAAGTTGAGAAGCTTATTACTCTTGGGTGATTGGTACCCTTGAGCTTGTTCCTCTTGGGTGCTTGGGCGCCCTAGAAGGTTGGTGGTGTTCGGAGCTCAATCATTGTGGGGTAAAGCTCCAGGCAAGCATCGGGTTCTCCAATTAGGTTATGGAGATCGCCCCGAGCAATTTGGCGGGTTTCGGCGACCGCCCCCAAGGGTTGCCAAAGTGTACGGGTTCGGTGACCGCCCCCAAGGGTTGCCATTTGTACAGATTCGGTGACCGCCCTCAAGGGTCTCTTAATGGAATCACGGCATCTTGCATTGTGCGAGGGTGTGAGGAGATTACGGTGGCCCTAGTGGCTTCTTGGGGAGCATTGTGCCTCCACACCGCTCCAAACGGAGATTAGCATCCGCAAGGGTGTGAACTTCGGGATACATCGTCGTCTCCACGTGCCTGTTATCTCTTACCCGAGCTCTTTACTTATGCAGTTTACTTTGTGATAGCCATATTGTTTCTTGTCATATATCTTGCTATCACCTAGTAGTTTATCTTGCTTAGCATAAGTTGTTGATGCACATAGGTGAGCCTAGTTGTTGTAGGTTTCGTGCTTGAAAAATTAACCGCTAGATTTATTCCGCATTTGTTCAAGCCTAAACGGTAATTATTTTAAAGCGCCTATTCACCCTCCCCCCCCCCCTCTAGGCGACATCCACGATCTTTCAGGAGGAAAACCGGGGCAGGGAGAGGAAAATCGGGGAGGCGTGGGGCTACCGTAAGGGGAGGGAAGGACGAAAGGGTGGGACGAAGTTTTGACATAAGATGGGAAACCGACGAAAAAACCGACGAAATTGAGAGGTGGGAGGGAGGACAAAAAAACCAGGGGAGGTGGGACGAAAATTAACCGCGAAGACTACCAACTGAGGCATTAGGAGTAGAGATTCATTACTAGACGAATCATCAACACATTCATACATCGTAGAGATTAAGAAAAGGTGTTAAATGTGGAGTGCAAAATTATTCACCAAATTGGACGCTTCTCATGCTTCGCCCTTTTCATTGGCGGAGCACATGCGTTTTTTATAGGAGTAGCCGGACGTTGCATAGGGCAACCGCGACCACGACCATTCCCCTCCTTGTAGTCACCGCGACATCTAGGCATTTTCCCTTTTGAAGGTGGCTGGAGACGCAAGGGAGACGACAACAAATCTACTTCACGAGTTGTACTTAGGGCCTGGTAACTTCGTTTTTTTCTCAATCTAGCCAATGACACATGGGGCCTACTTGATATGGTGTAGTAGTATGCGGGATTGCGGGTATGGGTATTGCCTTCCCGTACTCGTTCCCGCCTTACCCGATGGGTACAATTTTTTCCCATTTAGAAACCCATAGGTATTTTTATTTTCCATACCCTTACCCCAATAGGGTTTTTACCTGTCGGGTTCGCGGGTAGCAGGTACCCATTGCCATGTTGAAGCACATTCTAGGACGCACATTGGAGGATCACAAGCGGCTTGACATCAGATGCCCGACAAAGTGTCCAAACTAGAAAGGTGCTAATTGTCCCCTACACCCATGCGTTCATTTTAAACTTCCAATCTAAGCCTCTCATTTTTTTGCGGGAGTTCCAATCTAAGCCTCTCATTTTTTTTTTGCGGGAGTTCCAATCTAAGCCTCTGAGGCCAAGCTAAATGTACCCTACGAATCGATACATATAAAAGTTTTGAATTTGTTGAGTAAAACCGAGGCACTTCATCTTGTTGGATCCTATTTAGCGCTTAAGGCGCCGGATTTAGGCCATTGTATTTTTCACCGGTTCAAATTTCACAGAGTTTTCCTGTGCGTTTTTTCTTTCTGTTTTTTCTGGTTTGTATTTTTCTTTTGCATTTTTTTATTTTACCATTTTTTTCTTTTTCATGAAATTTCATTTGAATTTGTGAAAGAATATTAAATTTGAGAACAAAATCCAAATCTGCAAACTTTTTCCCAAATTTACAAACATTTTTCAAACTCGCAAAGTTTGTAAAATTCAGGAATAATGTTTAAATTCACAAAAAAACTGTCAAACTCATGAACGTTTCTAAAATTCATGAAATTTTAAAAATTCAAATTTGAAACATTTGTTTTACAAACTCGTGAACTTTTTGCAAATTTATGAACTTTTTAAAATTCAAAATCATGAACAATTTCAAATACTTTAACTTTGTCGAACTCTTGAATTATTTAAAAAATCAAATTAGTTTTTAACGCGTTATTTTTAAAAATTCATAAACTTTTAAAATTTTGAATCAGTGAAAATTTCCAAAATTGTTAACATTTTCCAAATTGATGATCTTTTTCAAATTTGTCATTTTTTTTCCAAACTATCAAGTGGGCATGTGTGTTGCGACGGGGGAAAACAACGGTCACCGTGCAAACCCGAGACAATTTTTAGTCCTACTCGACTTCATATGTTTAAGCTAACCTTATTTTGAACCTGGTGGATCATATATTTATGTAAGATAGTTCCTTTACAAGTAAAAAAAAAGAAACCAACAGTCAAATATTGGGTTGTTATATGTTTCTCAAACGACAATATATACGATGTTTGCTGCTTCTCTCCATAGTACCATTTTTTAGGCTCCACAAACTATTAATAATTATGTTAGCCAATAAATCATGGGAAGTAGATGCAGCATAGCATAACATACCACATGATTTTGTAAACACACCACTGAATATATCGAGTAGGGCTACTTAATAAAAAAAATCTCCAAATACGTACATGCTTATTATGACCACTCTGATGCTATTTCCTATAGTCTTCGAATGATTTTAAAAAAAGTTTTCCTTGATGTCAGAGATGAATAATTTAAACATATAGTATTTTTTTCCAAAAATTAAATTATTATTGCAATTTGACACAAAGTAAGGAAATGGCACATATGTTTGCCCTAAAAAATGAGAACATGTTCATATAGTTGATACAACCACAACTTGAAGGCTGCAGAGCGAGGCGGCAAAACCTGTAAGATGCAGCCATGTGAAGCACGATAGAACTGCCACTACAAGATCAGCTCAAATGATCAATAAACAATCATTGAGAGTGAGAAATCCTTGGCCAGCATTTAACA